CGCGTGATACCAATGAAGTTTGCCTACATACGCAATCCGCGATCGTTCGTGACCCAACCCACCTCTGTCGTGGTATTGGTATATCGATTCCGAAATACGGTTTGCGGGTCTGTGGACTTGTGCCGTTATCGTGACCGAGCGATCGCTGCGGAGACGCCAGAACATGATACTCTTCAATAATTGCAAGGCTGACCATACCCCAAAGTAACACGAAGCCCGGTAAAGATCGAAACAACCTAACAAACTTCTTTATTTCTTCAACAGTCTTTAACACTGTCCATTTTTTTTACTTATTAGAACTTATTTAGAAAGCTATGATTGCAACACCCGTAGGGTTGCAGATGCGTTGCTACCTTTAATCAACCCAAACCTCACTCACCAGACGAAACGCAGAAAGAAGTGTAACACTTCCACTTCATGCCGGTCTACTGTGTGGTCGTGGTTACCCGGACTGATCTGCCCAATCATGCAACGGCCGAAGCTATTGCGAGCCTTGCTACGGTAGCGGCAGTATTTTTCTGAAGATCTGAATAAATTTAAACCACACTAACCTGTCATTGTTTGATAAAATATTGGTACCCATGTCTCTTACAGACCTAACAACTACAACTAACATAACGAGAGGAGGGAAAAGTACTACCCAATAGGCTTTTAAATACGCACACATGAATAAATATCCATACAGCACATATAAAGTAATAACAAATTACCTAAGAGCACAAATCGAATCGCATTACAAAACCAATCCACGGCGTAAAACGTTTTCGCACATCGCTGCTAAATAAACGTATACGATTTCGGTGCCGAGTTACGTCCAGCTCTAGAGTCGACACTCTCGAAATATCGATTTATCGAATTACCATCGTAATGCTGGCCGCTAAATACACGAAAAAATAAGCCACGTTTATGTAAAAACTAAAGTCGACACTCGCGAGATATCGACTTATCGAATTCTCTTCGAAATACTGGCAGCTATACACACGAAACCGAGGTACGCTTTTATAAAAAAAAAAGAAAACGCCAAACGTCACCAGTAACCGAAGTAGCTCGCGCAAACGACCTTAGCGTGTGACAATGTGGCGTTAGAGCTTTTGTTCTCGCAAACAACTGAGCAGAGGCCAAACCGGAACGGGTCTTGCTTGTGACGCCCCGTGAAAGCGACCGCTGTTTACATTGACGGAGGAATTCCGGACAGACAATCGTCGAACGGTCTTTTTACTTCGTCCCCAGACTTTTTACAGATTTGGGCAGGACGGTACTTACGTAGCGGTATGCTTCCATCCCTCCTTTTTTTCAATCTAGACCTTAGATAATTTATCACATCGTAATTACTCTGAAAACGTCATTCGTTATTATAGTAACATAAGATAGTGTAGTTTTGTAAAGGCGTTTTACAAAAACATACTTCAGAAGTTTGTGTATACAAATTCCTAGGCCATGCAAACAATTGTTCGTCGTCAGACTGTTATGAGACTAGAAGATCATAACCATTTCCCTCTCCTACCTTTCTTTCTGCATTTCGACTCTTAACAACAGAAGTTAATAGTCAAAAAAATCGACACATTTGTCGCTGACAGCGAATACGGCGACCTCGGCTATCGTAGAAACGATGTCACGGCGTTGAGAGCAATGCGGCTCCCAGACTCGAACGGACCAACGCCTTATGTAAAGTGGAATGCCGTAGATATGCCGCACGTATTCCAGATAAAGAACCCATTAGTAGTCAGCGTAGCACAAAAGCACCTCGCCGAGCGACACACAGTTCACATTGAGGCACTACGGCTCCCCGTGCAATTACCTTTCGTCATGAGAGAACCACGTTAGTGGTTACGTCATGGGCTAACAATATGTGCGGTGCGGCGCGCCGTTTCTATATTTTGTCGTCGGTTGAATATAAGAACAAGGTTTGCTCGACCCGACCTTGGTTAAGAGTTTTCGACAGATATAGTAGACTAGACTGACTGGCTTTCAAACGGGGCTTCCCCGCTTGATTCTATTCGAAGCGTAACAGCCACTTACACGCAAAGTGTCGTATGATTCAAGCCAAAAAAACTGGGGGGAATTTAAATTCATAAACATAAAAACATCAAACAGTGTTACGCATTTGTAAAATAAATGTCAAAGAACTGTACAAGTCAAGGGATAACACCTCTGCACTTTAGATGAAACATTAAAGTTGTCAAGAAATCATTGTAAGATAACAATGAAAACAACTAAAAAACAAATGATGAATTTTGGCGACATCTCTCTTTCGAATTATCATTGTAAAACGATATTTGATATTGTTCGTGTGTTGTTACAATAGATGCGCCAATAATCGGTTGAAATGCGAAAAAACAAATCAGATAAAATAGGGGTTGACACTTTCTTCGGTGTGACAATCAGCTTAGTGCGTCAGCGTCCGGCCGCAAATCCGGAAGACGTGGGTTCAATTTCCGCAGCGACGGAAAACTTTGTTCGCCTATTCTATCTACAAATTTTAACGAAAAGGTTTAAAGCTTCAATTAAGCGGCGTTTTCGAACACACGCTGAGTATACCTAACCCTTCATACAAAAGCGACGGGCCAGCTGGGCGGTTCAAAGCGACATTAATCGCTTGACATTGCTCCTCGGGAGATTTGGCGCCGGCCCAAGAAACCAATGGCACATAGAGCGTGCAAGAAAGTTGAGGCTAACTGATTTGTCAATGTCACACAAGTGAAATGCAGTTAAACTTCAACGTGGAAGCATCACCAGTGACAATAAGATGTTTCTGAAGCTTACTATGGTTAATTACAACTAAATATATCCATACTAATATTATAAATGCGAAAGTAGCTCTGTCTGTCTGTCTCGCTTTCACGCCAAAACTACTGAACCGATTTAAATGAAATTTGGTACACATAGTCTAGAGCCTGAGAAAGGACATAGGCTATTTTTTAATTGGAAAAAGGGTTATAAAGGGTTCTTAAAGGGGAAAGATATTTATCTAAGCGCTTCAATTCGAGCGAAGCCGCGGGTGAAAAGCTAGTATACTATATAACAAAGACATAATTTTTTTCTCTATGAAGATGATATATCTTTTTGGATGATATTATTTCTGGAGTGGCCAATCCATTCTTGTAATGGGGTCGTGTGGCTATTTAGAGCAAGTGACGTTGCACCTGCCGCTTGAATGATTTCGCGATAAACGCTCTTGTGTCTAGACGTCATCTATGCAACGAACAATATGTTAGAAGGTGCCTTACATGTTCGTGAAGGCGAGCGTTTGGCAGGCGAAAATGTCGGTGTTCCGACACGAACTATAACATCTTATAACAGAGTATATACTCTTATTTGTAGAAAACGTACGAAAAGATTGTCGCCGCTGTGGGAATCGAACCCACGTCTTCGGCATTCGCGGCCTACGCTTTTAGCCACTAAGCTAAACTGCTGATTGCCACACCGACGAAAATCTTAACGTCTTTTTATCAACATTGTTTTTATAGCATTTGAAGCAATGCCATCCATTGTTATATCATTTCCAGCATAAAAACAATTTCGAATATCGTTTTACAACGATAATTCGAACGAGAGATGTCGAGTATATGTGTACTCGTAAAATCGCAACTCTACTGTTCGTTGGGAACTGTTGCGGATCCACATGGCGGCATTAGCTGTAGCAAGAATGGGAAAACTGATCGGCGAAACATCGCGACTTCCCAGAAGATCGACTTGTAGTGGGAGTCTGGGTTACCTCACTCGTAAGAGCAGTGAATTCTTAAACACGATGGCCACGCATTCGCGGACCCCGCGGTTGTAAATGCGTAAAGGTTAAATACCTCAGTTCAACCGCCTGCTCGCTAGCCACCGTATCACGTAGAAAAAATATCTGGTCGTTACCAAAAATAGGGAACAAAACTAAAATGACGCATCATAGAGACCTTCCTACCGAATTCCTTGATTGATCCTTCACTACCGAAGGCACCAAAATTGCAACTATACCTATAGTATATGTACCTCTTCTTCGAGAACTGAATGGAAAACATCATTTATTCCCACTTTGTTACGGCAATGCATCTGTAACCCTACTGGTACTGGCCATGGATTTGCCTTAAGGCCTAATAGGCCCGGGCCTAGGGCGGCCCACATATTAGGGGCGGTCAATCGTGACAAAAAATTAACTGATGATAACGAGATATATGATGGGCTCTGGGAGAGGGTGGCTAAAACTTACTACATGGGCTGGGGCCTACGGCGTGCAAGACTAGAAATCCGCCACGGCCTACGGGTGTTGCAAATGTCCATAGACGGCGGTTATCACTTACCATCAAGTGATCCACCAGCCCGCTAGCACCTTCTCACTTGCAACAGCTATAAGTAAACAATTCCGACAGCTTATGGACTTAGATATACATTACGACTGCGAGCCTACCGAAGGGTAGAACTGTGCTCAGCAGTATGAGTATGTATCAACGGTACCAAATATTCCTCAGAGTGATTTATGGTCAACGGAAGTTCGAAAGCTCTGCCAATCGAAAGCATACGGCGACCGTGCCTTGCGACGGCCCAAGCTAAATATATCGCTGCTACAGTAGAACTATTATTACAGGACTTTCCATACTGGTCAAAGTCAAAGGCGTTAAATGTTATTCTCGATTGATTCGATCGATTGAGTTTAGCAAAAATTATGTATTATAATAAACAGGTTGACTGTGTCACAAATATGTATATTTAGTACATTTTCATCTCAGCTGTGCCTGTTGCAAAGTAATTGTTTAGTATGTTACAATTATTTTTTTTTCTGTCAGTTAGGTATTAAAATAGAGTATATCAAAAGAAATCTAAACTATCATCATTATGACAGCATTGTGAATGCAACCCACATAACAAAACCTGACCCAATATCAGCTTCAAATCCGTTATGAAAATAGTTTAATTATTAAATAGAAAGCATTAAAGGTTAGTATTATCAGCAAATCCGCACAAACACCTTCACAAACAAAACCATGCCGTTAGCCTATACTAGTAAACCGACTAACTGTCTTGCTGTGTCCAAGAGTTAAGCGCTGGGTGAACGTTTAGACTAGTCAGCTGCACCCCAAAATGTTCCTTTATGCATGAACTGTTTGTGCTCTTCATCGTTTCAATCAACATCCTCGTTGTCTTTCCAACATTTTCGCTTCTTTTGAGGAATGCGGCGATATCTACGCCGCATGTCTCGTTCACAGCCCTACGGCACTCCGCGGCGGAATACGGAGACAGCTTCCCACCGACACCGACCACCGAGCTGCACACCTCGTTGATAAGCTCCAACACAGCCACCTCCTTCTCAAACATCACTTCGCAGCACCCTAATACATTTCAAGGCAAGTATATTTCTATGCAATAGACAATATCGGTAGAACCCATCACAACATAAAATATGTAAATTAAACCCCACTTTGCTTACAAATACAGTTTATAAGTACTAGTAAAGAATATATTGCATTTGTTAACTTTTTATAGGTATGGTATTGAGTTATTGATAAAAAAACACCATGATTTATTAGAATAGTTACAGTTATGTTAATGTTATGTTATTAAACATTGTGATAAACAAATTATAAATATTGTATTTGAGAACTTTTGTGCTAAATTTTAAATGAACTCATTATTTCTTTATCTTATCTTTATAGTATAAACCTAACCAGTTGAACAACAAGTTTATAATACAATTAATTTAAAACACAAATGTTTCTGGCCAGGAAATAGTCATTTATAGCATACCATAAAATGAAAAAAAAAATGCCTTATTGTAAAACTATGCAATAAGCAACACTACAAATACTTTGTACTCTAACTGAAAACCTCTCTATTTTTTTTACTGTCTTATGTCTACCTAGAACAATTTTTAAATTTTAACAAACTATAAGCGACGATAAAAAAAAAACTAGTAGAATTTTACAAATTATAGACTTATTTTGACCAATTTGCAACTGGCCAACTATGCATTATTTTTTTTTAATATGGTTTTTATCTGTGTGTAGTGAGCTGCCAACTCAATTTCGAATTCTAATTCTGTTTCAATAAATAACTAATATGCTAGTTAGTACTTAATTAATATAGTATAGAATGTTCCAATATCTTCATTAATGAAAATTAACCGTCCTTTATATTTGCTTGATACGTAAACAGTCACATGTTAATAGCATTTGTGACTTCTGAAGATTAGCTGAATGTAAATCTTATACAAGGTAGGTTTAGATTTTACACTACTTTAGAATTATTCCAATAAGAATTGTTGAGTTAAAGAGTCACATTGGCATCAATACAAAATTATAAATCATAGGTATTATGGGCTACATTATGCAAATCATTTAATAGAAAATTATTTAAAAAGCTACATCATGTCCTTTTTTGAAAAAAGTAACATGGATTAAGGAAGGATTCACAATTTTTTATATGCCTGAAAAGTTAATTTACTTTACTAATAATCTAATAACTATGACATCAAATAGTTAATAATATTTGCTTTTCTACACAATCTCTAAAGTAAACATTGATCATTGATCCATCGACCAATGGTCCTAAAATATTCTAATAAGAATAATTGTAAATATGAATGCTGTCTATAATTGGCCTAAAAAACATGTGTAGAAATACCTCCGTTCTTTTTTTTCTGATATTTAAGAATGTATATTGCAGAAGAATATTAATATAAAATATGTTATTTAATAATACAGCTCATTATGGTGAGATTTTGAAACAAAAATATAAATTCTCTTAAATTACATATTAATTACATTTTCATTTAAACCTTATTTATTAATCAGCGACGTAATTAGATTTAGAGCGCGTATAGCGCAGAGAATGTCGCGTAACTACGCTGCTATTGACATTGAGCTAAAGTTAAAAATACCGACGTTACCTGCCTCCCGGTCGAACTTGTTGGGTTTCAGCTGTTCCTGGGAGTGTCCCAGGATCAGCGGCGACAGAATCCTTGGCCATAGGACGGCGAAACACCCCACAACAATCACTAGAACGAACATCGTCTTACGCGGCCCCAACACTTCGTCGTTCGCCATTCTGTCGTGTTATTCGTATCGGTTCGTCACGCGCGCACACAGCCGGTCGCACTCTACGGGAACATCGTCGTGTATGATTAAAAATAAATATCTTTCGCCGTGAGGCAAAGCAAAAGCGCGCAATGACAGCTGTCAGACTCGCCCTGCCCGCCGCGCTACGGGAGCGATCGCAATTTCTTTACGGGAGCATCCGCCTTTAGGTGTCTTCGAACGTAGAACGCCGGTGGATTGAGCTGGCTCGATGTGACACAGCCGTATATCAAAGTCAATCAGCTATGCCGACATCTTGCCTTCCCAGCCACCGGCCTGGCTTCTGTTTGAGTTTGCAGTCACCGTGGTTCAAATATTGACGGTGTGAATTAGCGTTTGGCGGGCAAGCGTGCGGCGCTCGCAAGCAGGCCTCGGTACAATATGCCTGGGCGCGGAGGCGGCGCCGGCTAATAACCCTTCCCCACCGCGGCGTGGTCTACACGCGCTCCGATGAATACCAATTAGACATTCGATGTAGGTACTTGTTATTAGACTAGCATACATGAAAAATACTCCCTAAACTTGACATAGGTATATTTCCATTCTATAAATATTTAACTGACTAACTGATATATATGAGCAACACATCAAAAATGTTACGTACCACGGTGAAACTTTATGCGTATTGAAACTCACATTGAGCGATCGTGAGAATATTCAACAAAAAGATAAATGGTTTTAGCCAGCAAACTTTAGTTTAAAAAAAAGTCTTATGACAACAGTTTTTTTTAAAATAACGTGTCCCTCTCAACCACATCATCATCATTATAATCCTCATTTCTTTATCCCACCTAGGTGGGGTCGGCACGACATGTGAATCAAGTTGTAAGTGCATTTGTTTTATACAAACGGCCGTCTGTCTGATGTCAACCATCCTTGAGAAACAAACACCCAGATCCGGAACAAGTATCTGTGGGTCACAAAAATACTTGTCCCGTGTGGGAATCGAACCCACAACCCCCGGTGCTGAAACCAATAGCTTAGCAATTCGCGCCAAGCGCGCCTTCCACATAATATTTGTTTTAATCTACCTGAACGCCGTCTCAAGATCTGTAGTCACGAGGGACATGTCAATGAGTTTTCATTTTACGGTTACTTAGTGCGAATTTTACCGTTTTTCAACCTGTTTTTTCATGGTTCAGATTTAATAGAATTTTAGTTATGAAATCATCCATGTATCTTTTAGCATTAGGTGACTGAATTTTTATCGATCAATCAATTTTTTTTACATATAAAATTTATCATAATAATTATTAAATATTTATAATTTATAATAAAAATTTATAATAAAAATTATAACGATATATATAAAATTATATTTATAATACATATAAATAATATACAGATAAATATAATACATATAAAATTAGAACGATAAGGGTATAAAAAAACTCCACATTGCATAAAATTTTGAAAAATGAAAATTCAAACTCGCGTCTTCTTCGTAACGCGCCTACTCTCTAGCAAACTGATGTGCCCACAATCAGGGCCGTGAAAATATCGAAACTATATTATTCATATTTAATCAATTTCTCAGCTATTTAAGGTAAGTTTTCCTCGGGAAGGAGGCGTTCTGGTCGATAATAATTGTAAGTAACAGTTATTTATTGACAGTATTTTTTTTAAAAAACGTTGCCGTCCGTAGAACCACGAGAACCACATAATACTCAAAGAATTCAAGACGCATTTTGTGTTTTTATCTACATATATTAAGTAATAAAATAAACTATCAAGACTGTTTAACCCCAGACGGATACAAAGAAATATTTTAGACAATGATAGTTATTGAAACAACTGTTATCATGCAAGAGAAAAAATTAAAATTCACATTTTCCCCGTGCCCTTATCTCACCTATGGGGTCGGCGCAACATGCTTGTTGTTACAGGCTAGGTTTTTTACAACCATCCGCCTACATAAAGTTAACCCTCCTTATAAACAAACTGGTCACACAAATTCTTGTCCTGTGTGGGAATCAAACCCATATCCTGCGGCACACCGGAGCCAATAACTTAGCAATTGCGCTAACGAGTCATCCGCATTTGAATCATATATTCATTAGAAACTAGAAGTAGTCAGTGGTGCACTCCTTTGAAATTAAAATCCGCTACAACTGCCACTGGATCAGTATTGATAATTTTAATATGAATTTGGAACAAAAATTAGATTTTATATTTCTTAAATACTTAAGCAACGTATTAACTCCGTTTCTTAAGCTAATACGAGGAACATAGCACAGAAACAATCGCGGCTAAGGCGGTAACCGCACAGGGCAATAGCTTGATTAAATAGGTATAATTATACTTATTTTAGATTGTAGTAGTTTAACAGATGCGGTCAAGGCTTAGCATAAAAATAGATTTGGCCATTTCCATCCAACCCGTATGTCAATAGTTTGAATAATATTATAACTTAAATATGATTCATTATATAATATCATGCATGAAAACCGAATGCTGTTATATACATACTTGGCCACATGATAACTGTTAAACTATTATGGTACAATCTCTGACTTTTATATACGGTCAAATAGCGAACTATGATTACCTGCATGAATGAACTGTTAAATCGTTTACTAGTCACATTTTAAAAGTATTTTATTTTATATTCAAATCAATACACAGTCGATAATTATTGACAAGGTCAATTTGTACTTTCGATTACTAATAAAGTTATTTCACAATCCTTAATTAACCGATCATGTTAAGTAGGTTAAGTTAGTTTTACCTATTTATGCTTTTGATATTCTACCTGGGATTGTTTTGGGTAAAAACTTCGGGCGGGAATAAATTAAAAAAAAAAACGCGCACACCACCACGAGTGTAAACATTTTTTTCATTTCGACAGTTAAACTCGTCGACTTATCATTATTCCTATCACACACATCCCCTCCTACAAAACAATGGGTAGGTAGCGCTCCTTTAGACGCAGGAAGCGTCGCACGCGCAAGTGTTACAAAATGGCCGATGCCGCCATATTTTAAAGCGTCGAGGCAGTTATAAGTCTGTCTGGATGCTAAGGAGACAGTGAACCATAAAAGGGAGAGGACATCCTGGTCGGTTTCCGCCCAACAGTTTTTGGCCCGGGTACCAGGAAATATATGATTTAAATTCAACGCATAGTTGGGACCACTTCCTTATGACGGTCAAGTGTCAAACTAGAAAACGATGCAACGCTTTCCCTATTGTTTTTTTTATCGTATTATAATACCTTACCTGTAGGGGTATAGAATTTGTGGGATGAACCACATAATGGAGCGACTCCACACAAGCACCGACAAAACAATATCGATTCATCATTGAAATACCAGAAGGAATTGAACGCACGACCAGTGTCTTGTGCCATCGATCTATAGATACGAGATATTTACAATTGGAAATAATTTATAATTTTCAATAAACATTTACGTCAGATATCAATCAAATGAAGCTATAACAAATATTTATCTGGTCAAGTATCAAGAAGGGCTAATATATAGAAAGCACTATTTTTATATTTGGTTATTTTACACGAAGAAACGCGAACTTATAAAAGCAAATATGATTATTGCTAATCAACTTTGTTTTAACTGTGCTTACGCCCATGCAATCCAAAACCTTACAGATGTTACAACTTCTCTTGGCCTTGGCTATAATGCGTACGGTTTTAATAAATTGTATTTATGTACTTTGCTCGCACTTCGTTTATGATGAAACTGAGCTTAAATTGCATTTGTTAAAACACAAGCAAATTGTAAAGAATAACTATCATCGAAAGAGAATTTAATTTTTTACAAACCCGATTGACGTGAAACCTTTCTCTTGCGCCGGGCGGTGTGGGTTTGATCCCCATTATTGGAAAAATGTTGTGTGATGATCATAGTGTTTTTCCAGTGACTGGGTGTGTATATATCTATATTATGAAGTTATTCATAAAAAAAAAGTATGTTTAAGTATGTTTGTCAGTCAGTTATCTAATATCCACAGTACAAGCTTTGCTTAGTTTGGGACTAACGTTAAGGTTGTGTAAAAAGTGTCCTGAAAAATATATAAATATACTGTTACATAGGTCACACTAAAAGTTTCCAGGAACTAGACACATACATAAAACAATATTTAAAAAGTAATTACAATGTTTGAAAACGGAATTCTTTGGCTGCAGAATGCAGTTTCATCTGACTGTCAATTGTTTACCAATTTTATTTTGGCCGTATAATGAGTATGTATGGAACCCGCAGTGTTGCCGCAGTGTACGAGTTCAACTCACAGGTAACCGTTGAAAAAATTTATTCAATAAATTGTATAAAGTTTTGCTCCTATTATGCCAGTTTATTGGCGCAAAAACACACCCGAGACATTGTAAATATTAACAAACAGAGCAAGCTATTATTAAGAACAATAAAGAAAAAAAGGGCAAAATATGCCGATGCAGGCATGTACGAAAAACCTGAGACCGAAGATTGTCAAATAGACATTTTTATTGACTCGTGACGAAGTAAAAGTGTTTAAATAAACTTTCGTATTTTCCGGTACAAGAAACGAAAGCGAAAGTTTAAAGTAAGCTTTCATAATCCAATTTCTAAGAAATAAGTATGATTAAATGGAATGTTATTAAAGCTATTAGGTAAAGCGTAACTTTATCCTTTTCAACTATGTTTGAAGGCCCTTATGTTATCCCTTTTCAACTTATATTATTTTTTTATGTAAGAAGAGTCGTGGATGGATCATGATACATTTAATATATTTGAAGTAATATTCTGAAGTAAATAGATTTTTAGTAAACCCGAGAACGAGAGAAACAAGAGAACACCAGTGTTCTCTTGATTCTCTCCAGAGCCATGTTTATTATCTCATGCTTAGGTTCAATATCCAATCTCTCTCGATTTTAATTACTGATGATCAGGCCAAGGTTGGTTTGTGAACTTTGAGTAGGCGGACACCAGTCCTGGCTCCGAGTCAAGTCTATATCTACTATACTGTATCGACTCTAC